TACACATATACGTGTAATTTGGTGAGGCACTTTTTATACGCTTTCCGGTTAAAATCACAACATATGGCTTGACATACGTTAATTTACACATTTCTTGTCGTTTAAAAATAATCTTTTTACGTTTATCAAGTCACGTGTCGTGATTTTGAACAGAAGAAAGTGTGCAAAAAGTGCTTCACCAAGGCTGCGTTTCGATATTCACTGCCAGCACTGAAAATCTATAGTTTACGTCACGTACACTATACGTTTTCAGTACTGAGAGTAAATCTCGGAACGCAGCCCAAATTACACATATGTATATGTGTATAAAAGTAGCACACATAGATTTACAGTATAATAATCAGGAGGATGCCTAATTTTGTCTATGGCTGTATAATTATTTGGTTCATACGTCGAAAATTCAGCCTCTCACCGGCTGTTACTATTATTCTAACTAGTATCTACTATTATACAAACAAAACTGATTCGTGTAAGACAGAAGTAAGTTTCCTTGTACATTACGAAAACTGATGTGTCAGAAACATCAATTATGAAATTGAAATTGAAGGAAAAATGTGATATTACGTGTCGCACTTTCGTCGTGAACGTAACGTTAATATAGAATTTTGTTGCTGAACTTTTCTGAAATCTCTCGCGAAATTGCTTTTCCTAAAGGCCCTTAATTCAAGCTAATTACCAACGCTGAATAATGTCAACGTTTAACGAGAGTAAACGACATAAGTATAGATGAAATTTCTGAAGTTTAATATATCGAAGGGGTCTACTTACACCATCGTACACTCAGTGACTTTAGCTAACATTTGATTGAGAATATATATTTCTATGTATTATCTGTTTCATGCGCATTTAATCCGCCATTTCTCCATAACATTAAAAATCACGCGTTTAGCGTCAAATGAACGAATCGCTTTTGACATCCGTCCGATCAAAGAGACATTGTGGCGTTCGATTTTAATCACCGCGTGTTTCGTTTAGCGTTGACGTATTTGTATATATTATCCCGCTGTTAAAAGCGAAATTACTATGTAATTATCGATTAAATGTTATGTTAATGGCTTCGCTAGTAAATATTCAGGATAAAGGATTCTATGCATGACCGCAAGCAACTTGGCACGAGCGCAAACGAAAAGCAGCCGCCGGAAATAATGCGAACCGATCGAAAGTTTCGCAAAGCGTAATACCGAACTCGACGACGCAAAAAGCTTCTAACGCGAAACTTCTACCGCCAAACTCCATCGGCTGTTTACCCCGTGACGCTTTATCAGACTCGGCGTGGCGCGATAATTGCCAAAACGTTAACTACTTGTTGCACAATGACAAATTTCAATTCCAATTCGCGCCGGGCGAAATCTCGCTAGACGAATATAATCGATATCGGCACGCCCGGCTACGTCGCCAACGGAATTCATTTCGCGAAAATTTATGTCTCCACTCGCAAGAGTCGGAAAGCGAACAAAAAGAATTGAGGGCGTACCTTTGATGCGGCATTTTAATATAGATGCGCACCAACAAAAAAAAGAACAGTTTTCAGAATAAAGTTCTAAATTAGGGGATTGTAATTTACGGTTCGCGGACTAAATCCGATTTTCTTCAAGTGCTTACCAAGCTGGCTCACCAAGGAATTTTCAACGTTATAACATGAAAGAATTGCAAAATAAAGAGATTTTATTTTTGCGACTTTCAAAATTGAAACTTTTCCGTCTCCCGTCCCCAGTCATTATAAAAATTTTAATAAGACCGCCACGAAAAAAATTGGGGACTTCGTAAACGATTAGGTAGAAAGTTTCTTTCCTGGCCTACACAATTGATACGTAACATGCAATCCTATTTATATTCACATTCGCTTAATTGTATTCACAATCATTTTTTTATTAACCCTTTAGCTGCGCGTCGTTATTTTTCACCGTGCGATTTTTTAAAACGAAACGCCATTATATTGGCTTTTATTTATATAAACTTAAATTTTATTTATCAGGCAGGAACGCCACAATTATTTTGATCTGCATTTGTTTCATCGAAAGAATATTCGCGTTTTATAATCGCATTCCGTAGCTGAGCTTTATGTGCAGTAGTGTACAATTCCGCATTCAGCTCGGCCGTAACCGAAGGATTAAACTTAAAAAATATATATATATTATACGTTGATCCGAGAAACTTATAGGAATTCTAATATATGAAAATCCGTGATTTTGAAATTCAGAACTGGTGCAAGAAACGAAGTCAGAATTGTGATATCGACCAATATTATTTTGCATAATTACGTTCAATACGGAAAAAAATCATGTATTTGTATTCGGGGCGATGGATGACTTCTTATCGATTCGCAGTATCTCGGAATGCGTCAGACTCTCCTACCCTTACAGGACTCGCAGGAATGAGGCAGAGAATGGGGAAGTGAAAATACCGATCGCGCATAAAGTACGCCAGCCGGACAGCTCTTTTCCAGATTAAGCGCAATTTCAGAGCGAAAGTTTCTGTTGATAATAATAAAATTCCTATAAAGTGTCTCAAATTTATTGCAATTTTTTTCTTACGGCAAATAAAATGTTTTATTACCTCTATATCCAAAAGAAATTAAGATACGTTAAAGCGGTATAAATGCAAGAAAAATTGCATCATATTTTTTTTAATACAAAGAAAAAACATCGCAAGTTTTAAACTATCTTTTTGGACGGAGATACGTGGCTTGCAATGTTTTCTCCTCAGAATATTTTGTAGTGGAAGAAACTGCGATGCTTTGAGACACATTGTATCTTTTATGGTAACTTGTTAACGCTAACATTCGCTTCGTAATGTTACTTATTACACCTTTATGCTGCGCTAACAAACTTTTAACGAAGCAACGATGTTACACGCCTCTGTTTGTAATACATGAAACAACGCCCACCGTAAACGAGATGCGAGATCTAAAGTGCATTCTGTAAACATAATCTGCAATGTACACCAGATGCCACAAATTCTTCATTAACACGTAAAACTGTTTCGATTTTTTACAAAATCTCAGCATGCATCACGTCCAGATTATGCATCATGTTTATTTCTAAAAATGGGAATGTCACAAAATAATTTATTTGTTAATTCAACGGCTGTTGTTTGACATTAATATACGTCAGATATACTGAAACAAATAATAAGATATATAAAAATGTAATAAATAATAATTCTCGGTTTAAAATAAATTTTAATATTTACTAAAAACTTGTAGTCATCCAACCAATCGTACAGGAAGAAACATTCCAGTATCTGGTACATTCGATCGAAAATCAGAGTAAAAGGCGAAACATCGGGTGTTCGGTTCGTTTTTAAACGGACACCATCTTGGTCATTTTAAACAGATAATAGTTTTTCCAAATTACAAACGTTTCTAGAAACGTACACGAGGCAGTTTAATCGTCTAACACGCTTATAGCCTCGTAAAGTTGTGCCGCGGACATGTAACAGGATGCAATTCCTTCTCGGGAACTGCGCGAGTTTCTAACGTGCCATTTCTAAAGTTCCAAAGCTAGTATGCTACGATTTAATGTATCGCGTCGTTATTTGAAGATTGTTACATTAAGAAGATTGTTACTCTAAGATGTAGATTGAAGATCGTTACACTAAGATGACACGCTCCCATTGCCAGTAGGTTTCATTCAAAAGTTCTTCAAGAAGGCTGTTACTATTGTGCTATTCAGTAGTCGCGATTATTACCGCTTCTTATCAGACTTGACACATCGTTATTGTTGCATTCGTATCAAAATTCCGAAGTGAGAAATCAGCGATTTTATTACGTTGGTAAAGAGAAGATGAAACGTCGTTTCTCGGGCAACAGAGCACCAATTCGAAAGAAAGGAATCGATCTTTCGCAATCAGTTGCGCCATTACATTGCAATTTTAATTAATTTTATTACCTTTCTTTATTAAGTTTCTTTAAATATTATTAAATATTTATTTTCCATTAATGCACGAACGCAATCAACTATATTACTTCTTAGACCTCTTTCGTATGCAATTGTTAGAATACATTTATATGTTACAAAACTATTGTTAAGTTTTGATTATTACATGGTCAATTGTGGGAAATTAGTTTCAACAAGTTAGAAATTTAATTAGAGTTTCTACATTTAACAACCAGAAGTTAATTCGGGAAAAACGAATATTATTAAACTAAATGAGAAACTTTTGTGGTGTATGCTTCTAGATTTCTGTCAGTAGACTTCAATATTTGTTTTATTGTAGTTTATTTTACTAGTAATTATATTAGAAAGTAATCCCTTCAACAAGAATGTTGAAAAATTTATGAAACATATGTGTAATCTCTTCACTCTAAAATTATGAATATCATAATTATTTATGTCTTTGCAAATTGTAATTTAAAAGGCAGAGCCTCTTTATAAGAATCTGAACTTTACAATCAATTCTGTCTCTAAAGACTCATGCTTTCGACAGTACAGAAATATTTTACTAAAAATGAAATTCTCGTTCCTTTCTCATCGCAATTCAGTGCAAAATCAATCACTTGATTGCTTTCATAATTTTATGATTATAATAGTTGTATACGGATATGGCAAAACAACTTTGGGAAAACGATGGTTTTTCCGATCGTTTGACGAAAAAATGTTTTAGGCCCGGCGAAAGAGTTCACAGGTAGACGAAGAAATGCGAGAAACGCGAGTCTGTGTAAAACGTGAACTCTACGTAAAGCTAAATCGACTGTCGCGCCATTTTCATCTCCCGTTATCACCTACCGACATACCTGAGAAAGGGATTCTGACGTGACCCGTCCATGGATGTGCCATCCGTTGCGCACCAGCAGATACCTGAAACTTCGCAGATAGCTGTCTGTAGAGCGTTTCTCCAACAACACCTAGGCCGCATTAGCGGAGGACTGCGAAAGATCTATGAGCGCTCGTGGTATGTTTGAGAGCAAATGAATTATATACCACTTACGGAATAATGCTCGTACGTAATCATAATACGACAACGTGAGATTTATAACATCCCGCCGCCGATTTATGTTGCGTTCACCGTTGATCCTTCACACAATCATGGGGAAAAGAATCAAGGTACTTTATTTTGCAGCTATCGCGATCCGCTATCAAAAGACGTGATCTGAAATATAAAAAGATTGTTTGCTTGTTTTCCTGAATTATCGGCACTGTCGTATTTAATCGTTGCATCACGCAAATAAATTTATGACTTTTGCAATTTGTCCTGTATAATAGTTTTATCTCTTCTCTTGTTTGTGAAATCAAATAATAAAAGATAAGATATATGGCGACGCTAATAAATAATTGATGATGTTATTTTCATAAATTTACATTTTATATTCGTCAATGTTTTTTCAACAAACTACGCTTCCCTTTTTCTCCTCGTTGCGATACAAGTAAAAAAGAAGGGAGCTGTATGAAGAGAAAGGATAATTTGAAGGCGCATGTACAAAAGTCTTTTGTGATTTCTTTTTTTTATGAAACAATAGTATACAGATATCTATAATAAATTACATTCGTAATAATTCGTGTTGATGTTCTTTACAGAAATATATAGATCGGTCAAGTCGTATCGCGTTCTTTTGTTGTAATTTGGTCTCACGTGATCCATCGTACGATTGCTAGAATGCTATTTAAACATAAGTCCCTCGAAGTGTAAGCTCGGCTTGAATGCTGACGGCTTGAATATCACGCGTCACATGTTCGTGATACGTTTCAGATTATGCGATGCATTTTCATTTATTTGCCGTAAAAATTAAAATTAATCAGAAGTCAATGGTGGCTGGCAATATGACAAATTATGGAAAATTTATACAAACGCTGTAATTTATATAAATTTGTTCGTGTTAAATGCATCATTATTGCATCGTGTGGATTGAAACATCAGTAAAACGCTAATTTGACTAATATTTCTGACGTAACTATTAACGAAGGTTGTTTTCCACAAAGGAGAATTGGCTTTAATTAGCTATTGATGTGGTTATTGTCGGACACCATCAAAATCTTTCGCGATCCCGTACGCAACTCGATAAGCCTGTCGTCAGCTAACAGCATTATGACAAGTTTGCAGTAAATGCGATTCCGTGCTGTCCCGATTTAAAGTTCAAATAATTCGTAATATGCAACTCGCCGAGAACACAGTTAAAACATACGGTTGTTAGTAATTTTCTACATTAAACTTCTATACCAGTTTTAAACGGTGGCGCGAACGCGAGTCAAAGGAATGCTGAGCCGAATTGTACGGTGCGTTTAACAAGACGCAACGTAATTCGCTACCATCATCTTGCGCAACCTTACCTGCAAAACATTCTATTCCTTCACGTTCATTACGACCGTTTTACGGTGCATTCAGTTTGACATGACGCGCCAGCGCGAGTGGTTTTATCCATCTATGAGTCATTGTCACTCGATATCTCGCATGCAAATTGCAATTAAGTATCTCAAGCTGTTGAAAATCTAGGAAGGTGCAGCAATTACCATGTTCATTCCTTATTCATAACCAGTTTGAATGCTTGAGATACATGCGGAGAAGCGTTTGCTTTGACGGCAAATGATGGTAAATAAGGCGATGCAATTTGTATACTGTAACTGATTTTGCAAAATGGTGTAAAATATTTTACACCGCACATATAAATAATAAATTCACAGAGTGTTTAGTTCCCCTTTGTCAAAATACAGACACTATATTTCGCACGGCAGTTAACATTTTAACGTAAAACCTGTCTGTGACTAAGGCACAAATTAGATTTTCATATTGCATGACAACCAATTGAGGAATAAGATTTTGTTATTTGCCCTTTGTGCTACAGTGTGCAGCATATCGGATTCTTCTTGCCAAATTAGAGCTTGAGAACGGTATATTCGTGTTTTCACGGTTAAATTAATTCATTTTTCGACAAGGAACTAGATAAATTTTAATAAAATATGTTAACAATGCAACACACGTGCTCCTGATCCGGTCTAATAAACGACAATGCGCAGCGTACAATCTCCAGTTTGATCCTGTCCGTTTCCTATCTCGTCGAGATATTCATTTCGTTTGCAATTAAAAGTCCGCGCTAGACCATGAAAACCGTAGCCGCTACGCGAATATCCCGGTAATTCACATCGGGATAACAAGTCGGCGGATAAATTCTGTTCGTTCTGGCCCCAATATGCGGTGAAACGCGCTCAGCCCCTCCCCCCCTCCCCCCGTTCGTTGTCCTTATAACTGTTTTACGGCATCTATCTACAAACCGAGAATGTGTGCGGAGGGAAATTTACATTGCCCGTGGAACTTTGCATCGCTTTTTACGCCGCGTGATCGTAAAGAAGACGTCGTCCCGAGGACGAATTTACCCTCCATCCCGTCGTTTAACTCCCGCCATCTCGAGGCTGTCATTTGCTCACATCCACATACACACACATGTATACGCGCGATGTAATGCGTTATGCGCGTGTGTCCCCGTTTTTCTGCTAACTCGGAGCTGACTTTGAACATTCCAGGAAGCAAGTTCGTACAAGCCGGAAGCGAAATAAAAATATTGCTCGACATATGCGCGCTTGCGAGACATCTTTTGGTTTCCATATCCCGCATAAAATGAGTACCATAAAAATAAGCCACTCTTAGCAAGAGATATCAACCTTTATCCTCGCTGCAAAATCCTTGCTAAGTCAGCACGCCTGATGGAAAAACGAAAATGGCGACTCGTTGCGACTACCTTGCCAATGTCTTCGCTGACTGCAAGCACCACGAGGAGGACTGCGGGTCTGAGACATTTTCTCGCGAGTGAAGTCATAGCTGTTCAAAAACATACATGCGATACAACGAAATTGGAAACGAGATATAATATTACTTGACGAATGTGCACACGTTTACAAAGGTATATCTTCCATTTCTCGTATTCAACGTACATATTATTCTTGAGAAGAAACGATTCTTTAACCACGCGTTGTCCTCTCTCCGCATGAAATTCACTGAATTTCATCGGCAATAGACGTGCAATAGGACTCGGCAAATGTTATACCCGAAGAAATACGCAATCTATTGCAATTATTTTGTCAATATATTCGCTGTCTAATAAAAAAAAGACAGGACTAAAGCTGAGCAAATTATTAAATGCAAATCTTCAAATACTTCATAATCCATGAAAATTAATTATTAATTTGAAGTAAAGTTTAAATATTATTTTACGTATTTGCAAGATCCTTTGCTTTTCACGTTCAAGATAAATACGTTTCCATTTTTAACTTCATTAACGTTTGCACACAGCTAAAACAGCAATCGTTGGCGCAATTAGTTCGCCAATTTACCAAAGTGCTATAAAATCAAAGCCGCGATTCAGCGTGTAAAAGGCAAATCATCTCCCAGGACTACTCGCAAATACGCAAGCTTTATAAAATTCGTACAGCTCCATCAAAACTGGAAACGGAAACGCTCCTCGTGAGAATGGATTCTGGAGAATTGAATGGCGAAGGGACTCTCAGCTCGCAGCTGCAATTCCCTCGGTACTAGTCACAAATACATGAGTGCGCCACCGGATCTCTGATTCCCACTCAACGCGATATCGCGATACATTACGAATGAACTTGAAAAGACGAGCGGATTATTGAATAATAATCGCTCGAAGCGGGCGAATCCGGGAAATGGAGCGACGAACTGTCAGATTAATCGGACGACTAATACCCGTCGTGACGAAGTCGCGAAGACTACTTTAAAGACTACTCTACGTTGCAAGAAGCTCGAAATAAAAGACGTAAGCGAAGCAGCATGATACATGAAGTCGTGTAATATGAAATGTCAGATTTTTCAGGGAGATCTAAATATCTTTTTTCTCAAATAATCATTTAATTTTTTTTATGTAGGCACCATTTGATTATAGCCTTTCGTCAACGCAACTTCAACAAAAAAAATTCCCCTCTCAAAGAACTTGGTCTTTGGAGAAGACAAGATTTGTAAAGGTCCTGTTGATGTCCACCTTACAAAATATTTTATTCAAAATTATTAAAATTATTATTATTAATTTTAATAATGTGAATATAAGAGACGCGGCAGGATTTAGCTCAAATCGTTCAGCTTTGGTTATCTGAGTTGTATGCGGTCTTGCATTATCATGAAAGAACGTCGTCACTTGAACGATCAGAAATCCGACATCACATCACACGACTCTATACATAAAATGCAAAACTTTCACCTATGAATCACCTTTTCTCTCAATAGCTCGGTGTAAAATAAATTCTGTGAAAAATCATTTCACCCGCGTTACTTCTAGTCCAATTTAAAATGACCCTGTCCGAAAAAGATTAAATGAACACGATGATAAGAATAGCGTGTCAGCGTGCGCTGATAAGGAGTCTGACTCGATTCGCTGATTACACCTTATCTATAGTTTACATTCGATGTGTGGACGCGTGTTTCATATTTATACATTGTATCTGCTTCATTCTTACTATATATTTACATTTATCTTACTTCAGAATTCTCGATTCGAGAGCTATTTTACTGTTCGTCTGACAGTTTATTGGATCGCGGGGCCGCATTATTGTTCGTTGTGTTATCATACGGCAAGAAACACGCTTTCGAGAATTACGGTAAATTGTCTTGAGAAATGGATCTCCAGGATGTGCAAAATGTGTCGGAAACATTACCATTCTTTTCGTCCATAGATTCATTGACTAATTAATCAAAGATCATTTTCTCTTTTTTTCTTGTTAGTGAAAAACTGTTACAACAAGAAAATTTCACCATCAAACTTCGACAGATAGGAGGATGCCTATGGTTTCTATGAGGCCTTGACCTAAACCCACAAGGTTCACAATAAATATTACATATATTTTGTAATAATAAAATATACTTCATTCTAAAAATTGAAGAACGAGCGAAAGAGATAAAGACGAAGAAAGTAGCAATAGCTCCGAAACATTTTACAGAGTCGACCAATGCTAACTAATCCCCTCGTGCAAGGATTTACTTCTTTCGAGTAGAAGAGATAACGTAATTGTAAAAAAAGATTTCTTCCTGAACAAGTAACGGCAATAATCTATAATGCTAGAGAATGTTGGAAAAATGATGGGAGACGCTACGATTTTCTTAGAAGCTGTTAAAATAACAAGTGAGAGAGTACGCCTCCCCGAATCTTCTCATTGAGAAGCTCTTTATCGAGAGGGGCTTTAGTCATTAGCATAAAGTTTGTAGAGCCTTTGGGCGATCTCTCAAACAAGAACTTGTATCAATTAAACTATTACATAAAGTGCAAGTACTTGATTATATTCCGCAACACGAGATCACAGACGCATGAGAGGACTAGGAAGCGGCGATATGCCGTCGTTTTATCGCAACGACAATCACGCGGCACACCGTCTGCGAGTTGATCGTCGATTTGTCAGATGATTCTTACGCGAGGAGATGTAGACACGCCTTACTTGGAGGAGATCCTCACGATGGATCCTTCCTGTTAAATCGCTCTCGAAGCTCTCACCTCGCCGAGGACTTTCCGCGCCGCTTGCACCAATGTTCGATGATCCTCGCAGCGTATGGTTACTGGGCAAACGATCCGACGGTTCACTGAGAGACGCGGCAGCGATCACTACTCGTTCGGAACGAACCACTCTCGAAGGCCCGCGTCCCGTCAAATTTACACTGCGGTCGCTCCGTCGACCATTATTACGCGTCCGGACGTGGATTCTCCGCGTTGTCATGTACCTCCGACGTCACACAGGGGGCCGCTCTCCTCCTCGGACGCGGGAGAAAGGAGCGCATTAACTCGTCCTTTCGAAGGGACACCGGGGAATCGGCAGAACGACAGAGGACATCAGAGGCATCAGCGGCGACAGCGGCAGCAGCAACAGCATCAGCAGCAGCAGCGAGGGGCTGAAGACCAGCGGGCGGCATGGACCGGCGGCGGATTTCGTGGGTGGATTTCGCATGCGGTCGTTCATCACGTCGCTGGATATCGCCGCGCTGTTCGGCTCTGCCGAGGGACAGCTTATCGGCGCGGCGTTCATTGTGTCGCTGGCATTCGCGTTGTTCGTAGGATCCCGGGAGCAGCGGCTGGCGTGATGGGCCAGGCAGGCGGCATAGGCGATCGCGTGCGGGATGTAGCTCTGGTCGACGCTACCGGAGAACAGGGCACTCGCGAGGGGCCCGGCGGCGAACACCGGCACATCCTCGCCCCCGTGCGTCGCCCACGCCCTCGGCACGCCCGCCGTCTGTAATTATAGTCGTTACAGATGCAATTACTGCGCCTAAATCGGACGCGAGAGATTGCACGGAGCTACCCGGCGCGGCGCGTCTTGTTGGCAGGACCTTTGACGGGGTTGATAAGAACGCAAATAGACGAACTGAATCTGCGATCGGTGACTAATGACAGTCACAAATTCATAGAGGACTAGCGTTAATTCGCGAAACGAAAACGGGACGAGGAACTTGCGTAATTGATTACCGGGTCAAATTAATCATTTTCTATTTAACGCCTATATGTAGTGTGAAAAAATTAAGGTTTACATTTACTTTTTTGCATGAACAATAATGAGATATGTGAAAACTTGCTTTAAGCTCATTTTAGACGATTCATAATTCATAATTCATAATTTCATACTGAAAATTATATACGTGTGTTAGAAAAAATATTTGAGAAATCAGAAACAAACTGAGAGAACATTATGAAGAAACATTATACAGATCTATTACAACAAACAAAGAATTTTTGTCAGCAGCAAAATTTTGTAAGTCGTAAATGGTCCAACGTTATGTTAGGTCGTAAAAGTAAAAAAATTTTACTCTAGCGAGACAATTTGTGATAAAGCGTTCGGCAGAGATAGATAGAATTTCTGTACTGTTCTAACGCAAACAATAAAAGGCTATTTAACAATGAAAAAAACTCTGTCGAAAAAATGTTGGAGACTGTTCATTATTTTACGCAGGAATACTGCTCTGTAGACCGTTGGGTAACGGAGCATTATTCTTTAATGAATCGAGGCCGCTTTTATAACAGCAGCTATATAAAATATAGTCGTGAAAGGACAGTATAACTTTTCATAGTGTTTAGCATATAAATTGAAAAAAGTTATAGCGGCAAACGTCGAATTGTCACAGATATGTAACGTACGCGCGGACGCGTTTTTGTAAATAGTATATAAAAACATGCAATTTATTTCCACAAAATACGTTTATATTTTCTTTTTGCATGCAGAACTGTATTTCATGAATGTTATCAAACTTGTTATATAATTTCAAAAATTAATCTTTTGTATAGTAAAAGTAATAAAAGTAATATTAAATATTAATAACGGTAAATTTTATTGAATGTACAAAATTGATAAAGCCAAATTAACTTTTAAGTAATTCTGCCTGCGAGATTAAATTGTCATTTATAAAATTATAGCATTTTGGAAATGACATATTATTGTGTTCTGCATAGAAAATAAAATGACAACAACAGAAGAAGATTAATTTCTTGCATACTTTATAATATAAATAGAACACAATATGAAATTAATAAATTAGTTTAAAAAATATTGTAATTTTTTAAAAATTATCGAAAGTCTCTTCTTTATATTAATACTCGCTGTTATTTTATATCAATATTTCAAGCAGATTATTTATTACGTTAATTTACTTTATTTATACTTTTTTCCGCAATTTCTAATGCTAGAATCAATAAAGTCCAAAGATTGGCAAAAAATACTATTCTTTTTACCTAATAAATATATTCAAAGGGCTCTATTAATAAAAATAAAAAATGTGACTCTTACTGCCTTTTTTTATTAATATGGACTATTCTTTTTCATTTCTTTCTCATTGAAATTTGTATTGCATTAAAACTGAACTCTTCCCAAGGGAAACGGCACACATTTTAGAATTAAAACGAGAATAAAATTAAAACAGCTGGTTCGAAAAGATATCGCTGCGAGTTCTAACTATAATACGACCCGCTGCAGTTCCCTTTGCATTTTATTCCGCCTGCGGCGACGCTGCACGGCTCAAATGAGGCGCGCTGTTGCGGCGAAAAAGGGAATTTTCTCACAATATTTCCTTCTCGTCGAGACACCGTAGACCCCTCGCCGTGATCTCGCCTCGACGATCAGATGAAAGGCCACGGCACGTCCCGGAGTAGTGCGGTCGACACGGGGAAAAGTGGTTTTGCGCAATGAGGGTGGAACGAAGCTTTATGCCCGTAGGAGAGACAACAAGTGCCGGGAATACGGCTCAAGTGGCGATGATGACGATATGGAGATGTCTATTTTATCCCTCTCTTATTTACATCTTTTTTACGAGCTTATATCCCGATAAGCAAAGGTTGCAAGAAAAAATTTATAAATTGATGAAATCGATTTTTGGGGCGTCAATAAATATCGCGCATGAGAAAGGCCTTAGATTTATCTTCACTCTCGTGTCGAACATCGAATAATGATGGACACCATTTCCTTCTTTCACCTTCTTCCCTCCTTTTGTGATAAAAATCGGAAAGTGTATGTTCTAAAAGCATCGGGTATTGTTACTCCGCTTGGACATACTCTGAATCACATGATTTAAGTAGAAACATTTAGTATTTGTATATTCAATATCTCCTTTCAGACGTCGAAACAGCTTTCGATCCAGCCGAGATCGGAAGCAAACTATTCATGCAAAAGATATTCAGTGTCGAAAGCAAAATATCAATAATTCCACAGTAAGCATCGCTAGTCTCGACAAGGATCCAAAAGGATGCGCTACATTCATTGAATGTTTGTGAAAATAGCGCAAAGAACGGAATTGTGCTTTTCCTAAGAATATATGAAACTAGATAGAAACAATACTTGCTTTTAAAACTTGTCAATGGAGAAAGAGAAAGAGAGAGAGAATTTCTTTAATAAAAATGACTGCCCCTATTGAGATTACGCCCATTTTGAACGAATATCACGTATCTATGCAAGTAGACGAATTTTCGGCTTCCTTTTGTTTTATTTTTACAAATTTCCAAATGTGTGTTCCTCTCGCGCCAACACAAAAACAACGGATTTCTCCTGCAGACAAGTTTAATTCAATTCAGTCTGCATTTCATTATACAAAATAACGGCTGTTTAATTTCCGCAATTTCCCGACTGTCAATCCCTCTTGACAATCTACATGAAAAATTCCGAGAGAATCTTCCCCGTGGCAGAAACCTTGGCTGTAAAATTGCATGCAATCGCGTTTTCTGAAAATAAGCAGATGAAAATTCCGCCGGCGCCGCGGCGTTCGCGTATCCCCCCAAATCCTGCCGGCGTCCACCTGTTCCCCGGAGAGAAATCCTACCAGCGGCGATGATTGCGTGAAACAACATCGGGCTGCTGGGCGGATCCGCCGAAGCGGGATGTAACTGGTGAAATGGCGTCTTAAGGAATTATGGTCTGTCGGGAGAGCGTTAAATATCGTAAGGGGTTAGCGTTATCCACCATCGGTACATCCCGAGCTCGGTGTTTCTATTGGGGTAATACGAAAGCTCCAAGATATCGCGGAGCGAAACATACCTCGCGCACTTTATTCCCGGCAACAAAATCTATGGAATGGACCGGGACACCGTACGCTTACCGAGATAAACAAGAGGGTCAGATACAAAAGCAATATAATGGCTGTAGCCATTAGATTTATTACAGGAAAACGTCTAGCGTCGCGGCAGATTGGATTGGACTCTCTTAATTCGTCTATCTTGCGCACATTTATCGTGATATCAGTTGTACTCTGGGAAAAAAAGACAGCAGCCCATTTTGGGGCCCACAATTGGCAATCGAATTATTTGGATTGTTCCGTAACTCTACTCTGGGCAAAATTTTGACCGGTTCTTTGTTAACATTTCGGTTAGTGCTTCTTAAGTGAAAATTATCTTTGCGTTACTGAATATCGACAGAACTAATTGAGAGAATCGATTAGTATCACTTTAAAATCTTGGATATAGATAGAATAGCTAATTGCGACTTTTAGTTACGCGGGGTAAAATTTGTTAAAAGATTAGAATTACGAACAATCCAAATAATTCGGTTACTAATTGTTGGCCCAAAAATGGGTTGCTGTCTTTTTTTCCCCAGAGTATAAGAACCAAAGTCTTTTTATATTTCTCGGGGAACCGTTAAAATTACGTTTAAAGCTCATGAATTTTTATTTTTTGTTGCACCGTTTCTCTCTCTCTCTCTCTTGCTCCCTCTTTTCTACAAGATGAACCCTGGTAAAAGACAAAAAAGGAATATTCACTAGAGTTTTATGCGGAACGAAAAATTCTAGCGGGTAAAGAGCGGAGAGGGTTGCTTTAAGACATCTACAAGAAGCGGATATTTCACGCGGGGTGAACACCCCTGCTATCCCGGGTGAAGCCGACCGTCCGGGGCGGAACAGATTTGTACCAGTTTGCGCTTCGGGAATGCGAAGGAGTGCGCAGCATAATACGAGGGCGAAAGAAACGGCGCGATGCGAACGGGCGAGTTATCGAAGCTGAAAAATTCTCATTAATTTGCGCGCTATATTGCGCGAACGAAGGGAGTCGACGTCTACTAAATAGCTCGATATCAGCCCGGCGCGGTGTTTAATTCGTCCTGGATATCTGAAGCATTAACTCCCAGCGTGTAATTGCAGACATAAATCACTGAGGTGGGTAATAACGTGCCTTTTTATTGCGCCATGTCGGTACATATAAAATGAAGGGTAGATAAGTCGCGGTGCCAGCATAGAACGTTCTTCTAAAGTAAACACATTTCTACGTGCCACTCAAATACTGATTGTTACACGATAATCATTTCCATAATTAGCATCGTGATACGGCAATATTTTTGTAAGTAAAAAATATAGAAATTAATTATCGTTGCATTACAAATAAAAAGGGGAGTATGTCACAGATTAAGTTACAGAAATAAATAACGGGAAACATTGTCCATCGTATAATTTACACAAATGTTTATCATAAACAAATTTTGGAGCGTTCCGTATATTGCATTATAACGGGATGTATTTCTACAGTATTAAATTTTGTCCTTCTCAACAATGAACCTTCCCGCTTTTAAATAATACAATAAATTTGAAATTTTACTTCCATCGATAGCGTTATTAATTACATTTTGTGCCATAGCACAATTTTAGTAACTAATAATTATTGAATAACTCGATTAAAGATTGAGTTACGTGGATGGACAGCAGCCCCGAGTCATCCTCTTCGCATTCTCGAGATAAACAATTTCGATTGGAAATTAGGTCACTGTTTACCTTGGCATCACCGTGGTTACTACGTACTTTGTATTATGGTCATGAGATTTGCTGCTAATACCAGCTGGTAGATCCAGATTTACGCGCTTAATGCATACCTGACATTCACCGTGTAAATCACATTCTCGTAAAACGAGAGCAATCTCCCCGTGTAAAATACGGGCGCTTCTTGTTTCGCGTGATATCGATTTATGCGAATTTACGTTTACATGATAGTCCGTAGGAAAATGCGACCGCGCGAACGGGGTCTACGCGATACTATCGTAGCAATATTATGCGATATTATCCCAGGTCGTACTATGCACCCACGGTGGCATTACGTTGTATGCATTCCGGCAGACATAACGGTAAAGCATGCAGTTTGCAGCGCAACTTATTTCTCAAGTAGCTAAACGACATTTAGGTACAACTATTCGTAAACCACGATTTATGTTAATAAGAATTTTCTAAACTTGCAGACACACATTGTAATTCATGTGTCTCTTCAATTCTGTAATTACAACAGCGTTCAAATTAACAGCACCACCAAACAACATTTAGAACTATTCATAAGACACGATTTATGTTAATAAGAATTTTCTAAACTTGCGGATACACATTGTAATTCACGTGTCTCTTCAATTCTGTAATTACAACAGCGTTCAAATTAACAGTACAACTTTTAATAAGTCTCGCGCATTCTCAAGTAGCCAAACGACATTTAGAACTATTCATAAGACACGATTTATGTTAATAAGAATTTTCTAAACTTGGAGATACACATTGTAATTCATGTGTCTCTTCAATTCTGTAATTACAAAAACGTTCAAATTAACAGCACAACTTTTAATAGGTGTATAATGCAAAAAATAACTTCTTTTCGAATCGAACACTATTAAAACGTTTTATTATCTTTTTACATCTACCATTACTATTCCCTCGAAATATTTAATTGTAAGTTGGATAAAAAGTTGCAAAAACGGATGCGGTTTAACAGTACAGATACCGGAACTTAGTAATATCGAAACAAAATTTGCAGACATTTCAGTAACCATTGCGTAATTTTTTCTCGCAACGAGAAGTCTTCATTCGACATTCCTCTATAATGCTCTCGCTCAGAGCTGTCGTCTGAATTTTATCTAAAGTAACGAAATGTCTCGTTCGGTCCCTTGCAACTTATAAGGATCGTCGGTGAGACAGGACAGGCGGGTCGACGTAATTTATCGCCCCAATAGCCATCCAGATTTTAATCAGTTTCTTCCCCGGCCACTCATCCCGCTTATGACGATTCACTCTGACGGAGCATTCCGAAGAATTGAATAATCATGCTCGAGAGTCATCGCCAGATGAAACCTTTATAACTTTAGAACGAATTTCCTCAATGCATTCCGAGCGCCGCGGGCGAAAAGATTGCGCGGATTGTTACTTCGTAATCTCAACGAGCTGAATTTTTAATATTAGCGTTAACAAGTCTCACTGCGCGGAGTACGCGAGTAAGATAATCTCTTTTAGGTCTCGACATTAAATATTTTGACAATTAAAACCCAACTAAAATCATTTTGAATTAAATTAAAAAGACTTTGTAGCTTCTCTATCTGGGCATCGCTTTAATCTACAATGTTTTTAAATAGCTGCGTAATGTTAATGAGGCGTCCCGTAAAAAAAAAGGTAATATATAAACGGTGGTAGAAACTGTATATCCAATATACATATATTATAAGCAGTCACGTTCTCTGTTAATCAAGATTAATTTAGTTAGTCTTGTAGTGGCATAGCGGTATGGTATATTATGTTTAAATAAGGTAGTAAAATCGTAATTATACACGGGCGCGCCGGATTTGCGCGTAAAATTTATTAATATCCACACCTACCGTATCAGAAGCTAAATTACTGCACGTACGCGTTTGGCATGATAATATAAAGCAAAGTGCGAATAAAAGCACATCAGGATGATCTACCTCACGTTCCGCGATGTAACTCAGCGACGTCAAATAATATCCGTAGCGTAAATATTCGGCAGATGCAAATGTCTCCGCCCGATACGTTGTAAATACAAAATGATATAAAACTTGGCGAATACGTGAGAAATCGCGGATAGTTGTGTAGCGCGCGAAACATTTTTGTTTGCAGATTAGTACAAATTCAAATCTATGATCCGTGTAAAAGCGTGACGTATGAAAGCCTGTAAAACGCGCGTTTACGCAACGCAATATAACGCGATCAAAAGATAAATACGGATTCTCGAAAAGCTATGTCAACGAAAGAAATTGAATCAATAAACGATGGAAGCGGATAGAATTGTCATAAATAAAATATAAATAAATAAATAAGGTCTAATACATGAAGATAAATAAAACAGTCGACGCGTGCACTATTCTGTTGCATTTTTCGTTAACAATTGGACAGGTGTCACATTTGTAATTTCTCTTCATATGCCGTTCATTTAGTACACATTTGAATTTTGAAAGGTTATTTATTGGTGAAATTCATGAAAGAAGAGAAAAGTTAATTGCATCATAGAAAGATGAGATAAAAACAAATATGTACTTTGCGAAGGTATTCCAATATTTGCGATCTGTTGTATCAAATGATTACAATATAATTTCAAAGTTAATTCAATTTTCTTTCCAAAACTGTTTAATAGTTATACATCACAGTATTTTAGGATTTCGGTGTAATTACTGTTTTGCAATTGCAATCCTTAACGCAGAATATCATCGCGTAGTTATGCACATCTTTTGATATCCTTTTAAAATTAAATTTGCTTCGTGCCCGATCGCGTTAATGCCCTTTCATTAATTTTACGGCAAGATTAAAAATTCCTAGCGCCCATTGAACGTGGTATTTCAGGATACTCGGGGGGAAAATGGTTGGAGCTAGGCAGTCGGAAGTGTTTGGCAGAATATTTCACGATGGAGCAGCGATGGTACGTGATGGATTTTCGAGCGCGGTCTCGATTTCGCCACTCGATCATTCTCCGATCCAATAAACACTGGTGAACTACCTTCCGCGCGTACGGAAATGAGAATGGGTCTCCCTTACCTGAATGGAATCCTTCCCGGCCTCTCGCAGGATATTCCGCGGATGCGTGTAACCCGGCCCGTTGCTGTACAGCAACGTCGTGTAGGGCTGTCCGTCAACGTCCGACACCTTGCTGTCGGAACCTGAGGGGAGAAAAAAAATCGATCAAACGATTTGTCCAAATTATTGATGATTCATTTGATGAATGAACCGCTCGAGGCAAACTTGTTTACATTCGTCAACACGGCCCATCGAGATTCAATGCCATCCCATACAGGTGATCGTTATAGACTCAAAAACGATTCGCTTGTTAAAATTCTTTGCGACTTAGCGTGATCCATTCACAATGAACTCAAAAAGAATTCCCCTCCGCTGCGAAGTCTTATAGAGTACAAAAAGAATTCCTTTTGCATTTGAAAACGAGCTCAGAATTGATGAAAGCGAATTCTTTCCGAACACTTGAGACTGTTTTTAGAAGAGAAATGGGATGCAACGAGAATTCATTTCATAACTCGAGAATACAAGAAGAATTCTTTTCGGACTCGCTCTATCCGAAATAATAAAATATCAGTCGTCAAAACCGATTTAATTGCATACTCGAGGCGGTTCAAGTTTCCTCGCTTGTCAAGAAAGTTAAACGCTTGTGTACATTAAATACCAATGACTGCGGGATGGCTCTCTCTCTCTCTTGCTGCCGTACTTTTGGACACTCGCACGACCACAACGGTAAATTTCATTCATCCAAGTTTCTCGGGTGCGACACGTTTACTTTATTACCATCAACGGGGGTCGCTATTACGCGACGTCGCCCGAATAACCAAGGACGGACGGATGTTTAACGGTGGAACGGATGAAAAAAGAGGGGGCGGAGAAGAAGATGTAGGAGGCTATGAAGCGAAGGGATGAGTAGAGAGACTCCGGGACATGCCCGGCGGTAGATATGTTTTATTCAAGGGGCTTTCTTCTTCCTCCGGCGCGCAGCCACCTTCAAAAATAGACCACCGCGCCGCGCGCCGTTTCAGCCTGTCCGTCGTTTAACAATGTATAATTTAACCGTTTATTTGCCCGTGCGAACGCGCGGCGTTCACTCTAATCGAGGCGGTCGGTGCCGCTTCTCTTTAAACTTCCCCTCGCATTTTACGCCCGATAGACCGAAACACTTTCTTGTTTCTTCGAGTAATTGCACGCTTGTTGCCGCTGCACGTCATGACTCGTGACTGATGTGCATACACCCACAGTTTCGCGTGCCGCGGCACTTCGCATCGACGAACGAGGAATAACGAGAAGCCCGGGAAGCGAGAGGGAAATCGTTCATAATGATCCGTCAATCTGTCTGTTAATTTTATGCAGGTCCTCGATGGAACGAGATAATTGTATTTACCATTATATGCCTCTGTGCAGACAAACGCGAGGCTGTCACGAAATGAGAGCAACCTGGATCAAGTTCTTCGAGCACCGATACCTTTTACGTTGGCAGCGACACGAGCGCTAGAGCCTTGAAAAATGTTGCTACCGATGACGAGCGAGTTAGCCAGTTTCACGAGATTTTTTAAACCTGAATTTCACATCGACCAGGTTAAACAGCTCGCTGATAAGTCTGTTGAATTACGAGAGAAAAAGAGACGGAGAAAAGAACGGGCACGGTTACGGTAAACACAGGGGCGCATCCCGCTGATGCTAAACACTTCGCGGGGGGGCAGGTTGTAACACTTTAATTGCCCATCTGTAACGTCTGACCTGACGTGTAATACCGGCGTCGGGATAGCGAAATGCACTGCTACTTCAGGCTGCCCGACAGCGTCCGGAACGAAATGAGCCTTTGCGTTCCTTTCGGGCGCAGTTGGAACTCACGAATTACACGTTAAGCGGAGGGGTGGAGGGAAGATCACCAAGTCAGCGAAGTAATATCCTGCAATCTGCCTCTAGAGACTCGGTAAGGCCAAGTCCGAGATAAATGGATATATACGTGCGAAACCTATCGCTCGAAGAACCAATAATCTTTTGTTCGGTACAAATGAACCCTATAAAGTTACCGAACTGAAAAACGACATAAAGTGACGATTACGGTAATGAAAACGTATATTCCCGCCTGATGAAATCGCCGCGTGGTTCTCCGCAAAGTTCAATTGTATTTGTGCGATTATTTAATAAAACGGAGTTTGTGCACCCTCAGAAAGGATTTCTGTTACCGAGACAAAACATATCCTTGGCATTTATATTTCTCACAACCCCATTTAGTACAAAAATAAGACAATATCAAAATAAAATCAATAATTCTTATTCTCCTCTAGCGAATTGAAAAAGATTGACTTACTATATTAAGACAAGAGTAACTTATATAAATATAAGTTAATATTTTTCTGGAAATTTGTGTTTAACACATAAGAGCCGTACTAATTTGATAAGTTTACATATTCTTGCGTTTAGAATAAATTTTCCCTCCATCTTGCAACGCACCAAGTTCGCGCCACGATATTCGACAAGACGTTTTATTCTAGATTTTAGAATTTTTTATTTAAGATTAAAATATTCCTTTCTCTATATCGACCCTATTTTATGATATATTCAAGTGTAATAGCATTGGATCCGGAAATTTTTTCTGTGGGTGTGACGCGGAGAAATCATCGCGTGGTAGCTTGCCTGCTGTTCAAAAGTCAATCAACGATTTATCACTAAGAAAATAGTGAATATTCACCGATTCACATAACTGCAATTATAGAGGAAAGGCCCCTATTATGAGATAGGCTTCTAATAGGAGATAGCAGGTTTTCAACGTCCCAAATCAATTTTCCACTAAACAGATTTCACTTCAAGAGCAATAAATAGACGGTGGAACCAATAGATGATGCTTGCTAATTTAACAGAAACTCCCGCTATCTCATATCAGGAACTTGTGTCGTAATAGGGGACTTTCCCCTAACGCACTGATTGACGTTCAGAGAGTACATTCGCGTTTATGTCAAGCGAACAAGACAACACTAATGGGGACACTTATATAAATCTTGGAGGACAGAATCGTCAGTTAGATTGAAGAAGAAAGTTATAATCCGCAAGTTAATATATACAAACGCGATCCGGAGGCGAACCAGTGCTATGCTGAGAACGAAGTTCAGGTAAGTTATTCGAGCAATTTGAAGCCGTACAACCGCCAATTCCCGGCTCCAAGTTAATCAAGCTCGAAAGAAAGCTTAGCGCCCATTACACCCGCGTTTCACTCGCGTTTAGTAAATAGCAGAGAGATACAATATGGTGGTTTATTCTCCTCCCTGGTAGCATTCAGCTCTTTACTCCGAGCTCCGGTCGTTCGCGTAGCACTCCACGCTTTAGAACGTCGTGAATAATACCCGATGCGCTTCATCGCCTCCTGTTACATAAAGCTACGTAATGTAAAATTAAGGACGACGGCTATGGAGCGCGCGACTCGCACTCGTGAAGCATAACACCGCGGGCAAGCAATTAAGGACAATCCTTTCGCCGCCGAAGAAACGTCCTACGTCCACCAAGTTTCTCAACAATATTGAAACGTGACCACGGTCCGTGCTCTGCCACTGTAATACCACGTACAATATTGTTGAGCCGATTATGTGCCGATATTGCGCTATTAGATATTAATTAATGCCACGAAGTATCATAAGGGACCGCTCCGAAAAGCAAATTCGCCTGGCGGGTTACGCAAACTTGATTTCACGCTGATAATAGCAGTTACGACGTGGCATCTGATAAAAAAATGACATTTTTATGCGATATAACGCTCGACGCAACATAAAGTTTTAGATACATAAAGATGAAACGACAAATACGCGTCGACACAAAAAGTAGCGTGTAAAAAATTGTATTTATTGTATTACTTGGACCAAGTTCTAGCACCGTGGACGCAGGCCTTTATATATAAATGTACATTCTAAATACAGTACCCTCCATAAGTTTGGAAACACTCTATATTTTACAGATGAATAGTGGCACAGCAGCGATCTGTACACATGTTTGGTATAAATATATCATAAGTCGTTTAAATAGCGATATATATTCTAAAATCCCACAAAATATGGAATGGCCCGTCCAGTCCCCAGATTGTAATCCAATCGAACTATTGTGGGATGAATTAGACAGGAGGATTCGCAAAGAGCGAATTACGAGTGAAATGCATCTCTGGGAGTTTCTCCAGCAAGAATGGAAACGTATCCCGACTGCATCTCTGCAAAAGTTAATCCATCGCATGCCGCGAGTATGCAAGGGAGTCGTTAAAGCAAAAGGTGGTTACTTTGAGGAATTTAAAATTTAATTTAAATCTTTATTAAAAGCTCGTCGTTTTGTATCTTCGTTTCAGTTTTCTTTAGTTACGTAAACACCTACAAAGCAAAATACATCGATTTTATTATGTATCTCTTTCGTATTACACACTTTTATAAAGTATTTCCAAACTTATGAAGGGTACTGTATGTATAATACGGTAAAATAATAGCTCTTGTGTATCATATTTCGCGTGCTTGAAATGATTCTCATAAATAACAACCAAAATGTTACATTATTTTAAATGCTAGCATCGAAATGGACATTTGTAAAAGGCAATCGGTAAATCCGGTTTGTAATAAATATAGTTTGTACAGCTCAGTCGAGAGAGCCATTATGGTATAATAAAACGTAGTGGAAAAAAAACACTCAAATTCGTGTCCGTGACACACTTTGCGAATCACGTTAAATGGACAAATGCGAAAGCATCGTGTTTTAACCGGATTTATAAAAATATATTCCTGACGAGTGCACGAGACATCGAGATCTTGGTAGGAATTTCACGGGTGAATCTCTATCCGTCCCGAGCCTTCGTGATCGCGAACCTAACCAGCAGCGATATCGCCGAGTCTTATATTCGCACATAAAAGAATTCTCATCGAGCCTCGACATAAAAGTCGAGGATTCACCGCGTAATTTAACTTCCCGGCGGCGTACCTTCGTGAGCGGCCACTATCGCATAACTTTCCGACTCCGTGATATGCTTCCGTGATCTTATATATTTCTAAGTTAATGGGTCGAGCCTCCCGTGGCGTGCCACGATCCTCGTCGTCCTGGCACGAGAGGTCCGACAGGACGTAACCGAACTGATTTACGAACATTTCTCGAATTCCAGCGAGGGGTCACCTAAAAT